CAAAGGAGAAGAGGAAGGCGGAGGTGAAGGAGTGGATGGCGGTAACGCAGGGCTCAGGACCCGGTTCTCCGTTTGGGTCTCGGGGTTCCAGGTCTCCATGTGCAAACGCTAGGAGCCACCAGATCATAGCGAAGAGCATCCAGGAACAGAGGAACGCTGAGGTGAAGATGAGGAGTGAGTGCTGCCACTTCAGGTCCACCATGGTGGTGAAGACGTCCTGCAGGAACCGACCCTGAGACACAGCAGGAACCAGAACTTTTTCTGTCACACATGATGTCACTGTGGTTTTTAAACCCTAACCCTTTCACGGCTCACACCGGTCACCTGCTCTCTGATGTTCTTGTGGGCCACGTTACAGGACCCGGACTTGGTGATGAACCGGGCTCTCTGGGTCCTGGAGCGAAAGCGGTTCGGCTGGTTCTGGTCCTCTGCCAGTCGGGTCAGTAGGAAGCCGTCCGGCAGGAGACCTTTGCGGGCCAACATAATGCTGCAAACACACACACACCAGTGTTCACAGGGGGCAGTTCACAAAGGAAACCAGTATTTCACCAGAACCATCTACCGTATGACCAGGTTTCTACAAAATAAAAAAATGGACAAATCCCAGTTTTTAGATGATATGGTATATTTTTACAGGTCAGATCTCAGATCAGTGGCCGTGAAACCAGGGTGTGAGGGTGATGGAACACTTGAGTGTAGCAGTGAACGTGCTGTCAGGGTGTCACCCCGCCCTCACCCAACGCTGGTGCTGGTGCCAACGCCCAGAACCGGAGACGGAGGAGGAGCAGCAGCCGATACCGCGTCTGAGGACTTGACGGAGGTTCTAGAACCGACCACTACAACCACGAGATTTAGTAACCAATGATTTAAAACAAACCGTTCTAAGAACAGACTTCGAATTCACTGAACTTCATACAATGGAAATACCCGACACCTTGTATTGAAGTACTATGTATATTTCATCTTGTGTATGAGGCTCAACGTTCAGTCAAATATAAATATAATATTTACAGCTCAGTCAAATGTCAAGGTGACTGTTTTCCCATCAAAGACAAGGACAGTTACCTGCTCAAGACACAGCGCCTCACCGCGGACTAGTGAAATAAATTACAGTCGCAGTTCGGATGGTTACGATCAAAATAATAATGTCGTTAGACCCATGTACCAGATGTGTTCAATGGAGGTAAAAAACAACAACAAAAACACGGGCTTCATCATTGACATCAGCATCAGGATCATACAGCACACACACACACACACACCGAGGATCCGCTCGGCTCCTCCAAAACAAAGGACTAACACACTCCGTTTGACTAAACAACGGCATTCACCTGGAGAAAAATAATATTCCATTAAATTATTTCAATTGAAAAGAGTAACTTTTACTTGACGGATTGTTGTTTCCGTCGTCGTTTTTTAATGAAAAAAAAAAACAAGAGTTTTTCCTATGTGACTTGTATAGACTGGGTCAGTTCACGTCACTTTTATTCTGGATGCAGACATTTGTAGTTTCCGGTGATGCAGAAATCTTGCTTACCAACTGAAACCCGTAGAGGGCAGCAAAGAAACTATATTTGTTTGATTATAATAATATTCAAAACAATGCAATTTTTTAAATACGAAGAATTTCAAGAAACCTGAATTTGTACTTATTTTTAATGGACAGCATTGATGTGTAATTTAATTTAATTTAATTCTCTTATCTGCCGTACTGTTTTTTGTCAAATATACTGTACTTAATTAAATTGTGTTATCGGTTTAAATTGTTTTAATTAAGTTTTGTTTATATTTTTGGGATACTTAGTCTTGTGTTTTTGTATAAGAAATCACACGTCATAATAAAATGATCTGTGTGGCAGCACTGCCCTGTGAGGAAGCGCCTCCACAGGGACAGAAGAAGAAGAACGACCGGATGTGGTAAGAAGCACCAAGATGGCGAACAGCTATAGAAGTATGTCAACTAAACTCAGCTTTACTCGTTCGCTGTAAACGTTTTAATATTTTTATACGAGTGTTAGTGTTGCATATTGTTTACGATTGTAGCCGCGCCATGATTTTATATTTTTCATTACTACATTATCGGCAGGAAAGTGAAGCTTCCGGCTGTGACGTAGCCGGCGTTTGTCTGCATGTTAGCTCTTTATGTTTGTGTTTCTGTCAACAAGAGCTTATCTGAAACGGTGTCAGGGATGAGCCGGAGTCCACAGGGGGTGCTGTTTAAATTTGTGACGTTTTATTTTTTAAATGAGACGTAAATGTGCGGTGAAGCTCTAGTAGCCTGGACACCAGTGCCATGCCTGTTGGTATGTAGGTCATGTTATTTCTCCAGTCTTTGTCTGATCCTAAAGTGTGTCATGGTGACAGATCAAACAGATGCTGCAGGAGACGGGTTTTGTCAAACTAAATGAAAGACATGAAATGTTGTGTGCCCTGACAGATGATCTGTCAACAGTCAACATATTTGAAAATATACTATTCCTTCATTATCATTTTCCTGTGGCTGTATTATTAGGTTCAGTGGGTGTTCAACTTTATAACTGAAATTAAAATAATTCCTACAAAAAATTAAAACACATGATTTAATTATTGTTTTTTTTTTAATAAGTTGTCTTCACAATTTACCAGTAATCAATTCCTGCTCCTTTTTAAGGTGAAACGGATTAATCTAAACTTTAGTTTGTGTCAAACCGGTCTGTCTTTACTGGGGCGGTGTGTTGGCAAGAATGTGGCGATACAATATATTACTGAATTTCCCCGGTGTGGGATAAACAAAATCTTATCTTTTATACATCGATACTATAGGCCCAATGATAAAGTTAGTTTTTTTCAGTTTAATTGTTAATAAAGTACAGTACTGTAGAATAGCAATACAGTATTGTGAAACTAAATATTGTGATATTTCGGTGTGTGGATGTTTTCTTACACCACAAGTCTTCACACTCTCTCTGACTCAAAGTCCACATGGTTCCAGTCTGATCCAGATCCCCACCCTCTCAACCTCGACTCCAGACCAGTCTGTCATAGTCTGGGTCCAACTAAACCCTAGTTCTGGTCACTGACAGAGTCCTTGTCTGTTTTCGCTGCAGTGACAGACAGAGACTTCAGGTTGATGATTCAGCTTCGTGCTGCCAACGCCGCCATCTTCACAGGAAAGAAGAACTCTGCTTGCCGAGGCTGGAGGTCAGACTCTAATCATGTCCACTCATCACTGCACTGTACGGAGCCGTCTAATGCTCTGACGTCTGTTGTCCCCGCTGCAGGGCCATCAGTAAGGAGATGGGACTGCTGGGACAGGTCTCACCACGGCAGCTGAAGAAGAAGTGGGACTACCTGAAGGAGAAGTACATGGTCAGTTTGGTCACTACAAAACCTAAACAAATCTTTTCTTAGTACAGTCAGAGAACCACAGATTAGCTGCCACTAGAGGGCATCGGGCGTCTACAATCAAATAGACAAGTGTTCTCTGTTTGACTGTGTTGGAGGAAGGATGTTCTGGAAGTGAAAATGTCTGTAGTGACGTCTGTGGTGATGTCCATACAGTTTCGTTCTTCAGACCATTGACTGTCCATCCATCCATGTCTTTGACCGTCAGGTGTTGAAGTTCCCTCCTGCAGGCATGGAGAACATGTCCAAACCCAGCTCCTGGCCCTGGTTCCACCTCATGGACCAGGCCATGACTGGTAAGCTGGCCGGTAAGATCATCACTCCATCCCAGATGGAAGAAGACGAGGATCTGGATGGCAGTTTTCAGACGCTCAGCCCTTCAAACATGGAGGACGACGCCTCCAGTCTGGAGGTTCTAGAGACAGGAAGTCCTCAGGATGAGGGACCTCTCTCTGAGGTCAAAGTAGAAGAATCTCCTGCTTCTTTAAATGAAGAAGAGCATGTGTACGGTGGAAGTCCAGACTGGCCTGCTACACTCAACATCATCCAGACCTTACCCCCCCCACACTCTGACCCCAACACCATGACCACATCCTCTTCATCTAGAACCATGGACCAGAACACTGAGCTGGACATGAAACAGTTGGAGGTCCAGAGGGAACCGGTCCCCCGAAAGGTCATAAGGAACCCGAGGATGTCCAACAGCTACAGAAGTAGGTTTTAAATCAGTTGTGTTTTTGCCCAAACTTGGTTTAGAGTCCATTAGAACCATTCCCATCCTGGTCTGAACCAAACCCGTCCAGTCATATCTGACCTGAAGCCCGTGTGTTTTGTCTGCAGTGACGGAGAGAGACTTCAGGATGATGATTCAGCTTCGTGCTGCCAACGCCGCCATCTTCACAGGAAAGAAGAACTCTGCTCGTCGAGGCTGGAGGTCAGACTGAGGTCAGAATCATGTCCACTCATCACTGCACTGTACGGAGCCGTCTAATGCTCTGACGTCTGTTGTCCCCGCTGCAGGGCCATCAGTAAGGAGATGGGCCTGTTGGGCCTGGTCTCACCACGGCAGCTGAAGAAGAAGTGGGACTACCTGCAGGAGAGGTACAAGGTAGGTCCACGCCCCTCTGATGGTACACCTTGAAGTTTCTTTATGTGAAGTACATGCAGTGGTCAGATGTTATCATGTTTACTCCACAGTTGTTGAAGAACCCTCCAGCAGGCATGGAAAACATGTCCAGACCAAGTTCTTGGCGGTGGTTCCACCTGATGGACCAGGCCTTGAGCGGTAAGCTGGCCGGGACTGGAAAGATCCTGAGACCCTCTCAGATGGACGAAGACGAGGAGTTGAACGTCAGCCTGCAGCCGCTCAGCCCTTCAAACACAGAGGAAGACGCTTCTGGACTGGAGATCCTGGAGACGGGAAGTCTGCAGGGGGAGGACAGGCTGATGGACGTCACCGAGGTTAAAGTTGGGGACATGGACGTACCAGAAGACGGAGGAGACCAGGTGTACACCAGGTGCCACGACTGGCAGCCCGCTTTGAACCTAGACCCCACCTTACCGCTGCACTCTGACGGGGACAACATGGCCCCCACGTCCTCCTTCTTCTCACCCAGAAACATGGACCATGAGACCAATGACTTGGAGCAGAAACTGTCAGAGCTCCAGAGGGAGCGGATGGTTCTGGACCGGGAGCAGACCGAGTTCGACAAAGAACTGATCGCCTTAGAGAAAGACAGGGAGCTCCTGAACAGGGACATGGTCACAGTCCAGAGAGAGAGGACGGCGCTGGACAGAGACCGAGCAGCCGTGGAGAGGGACCGGGCGCTGGTGGAGCGAGACCGGGCCTTCCTGGAGCGGGACAGAGCAGTTCTGGAGAAGGACAGGGTTGTTTTAGAGAAGGAAAGAGAGGATCTGGAGAGGGAGAGGACCCGGTTCAGGAAAGAGAGGGAGGCGGTGGCGGCGGCGGCCATGATGAACGGTGATGGGTCCAAGACCGTGAGCCCTAAAGAGGTTCTACTCCAGACCAGGTTTTTTGAGAGTCTGAGGGCTGTGGATCTGGACCCAGACCAGCTGGAGACCAGACAGAGACTGCTGTCCTTGTTTCAGAAGCTGGTGGAGAAACTGTGACAATCAACAGTCAAAGGGCTCAGGACAAACCCGCCTCCATCAGTCCACCAGGTCATTGGAACATGTTCTCTCTTTTACTTCATCGGTACTCGACACTTTTCTACAGGAACCAAACTTTGTTTTACACTTAAGACCCCCACCCCCAGTTCCCTGATTTCAAGGTTCCCCCACAATGTTCTTCTGGTCTAGCTTCTCTTCCGGTTCTCAGTGAAAGTTCTCAGCCGTGCTCTGGGGACTTGAAATCTTGAGATCCTTTCATCGGTTCCAACCCAGTGCTGGAACCGAGGAAGAATCTGACTGTTCTAGGTTCTTGACTGATACACATGGAGGAACCTTCCTAAGTGAAGACGTTCCACAAAGGTGTTCTTCAGAGATGAGAACTAACAAATCCTTCTGACACAGATTGGGCTCTGAACAGCTGGATGTTACGTTATGTCATTGAACGCATCGTTTACCTTTGCTTTCTGAGGTTTATAATAAATGATAAGTGACTGAAGACAAACGTTCTGTTCTGTCCCGCCTAGCAGTCCACGTGGGCCCCATGAAGGCTGAACTTAGGGTACATCAGGAAGGGACTTAGCCATGGGTCATACACTGGCCCACTCTATGGGCCATAAGTGTGTTCTGAGTAGGATGTGGTCACTTCCATTTGGGCTCATTCCATCAGACCCATGTAGGCTTCATATGTGGCCCACCCATGGGGACGGACCTCAGTGTTTTCCAATAGGGGCTTGGCCACAGACCCCCCCCCCCCAGGCTCACATGGACCTGCGAACTCTGTTTTTATTATTTTTTATTTACCTTTTTATTATTTCTGTTTTGTTTCTTTTTTACGTTTGTTTTTATTTTATTGGTCTTGAGTCTGTAAACATTTAAGGTCATTATTTTATTACGAATAAAAAAGTGTTCTGACTCCGACTGTCCGTGACCGCAACACTCCACATCACTATACAGCAGCAGGTGGACGGGTGAGTTTGGCCGTGTAAGGTAAGAAGACAGTAGTGAGACCTGCTGAAGATGGATGAAGCCCTCCACCCATCCATCCATCCATCCATCCATCTGTATGAACGGACGTTCTTGTTCTTGTTCGTCACTTGGAGCTGATTAGACTTTTATCATTCACGTCTTTCTACAACAGGATTTCATTCGTTTGCGTAAAATACAACTAACTATTATCGCTCTGACCTTTTTTTTATTGCACCCCGTTGTTGCCCTGACCTGATTATTCCTTTAAGTTAACCCCCGCACTGCCGAGGGTCTTCTCATGGCCTGTCATGTGACCGACCTTAGACTCAGGCAAAGTGAATCGAACGCTCCTTCCTCTCGGCGCAGAGGAAAGGAGATGCAGCCGAATTCTGCCCACGGTAACGATTCGGTTCACGGTGCCTGTGGCCCCGGTGATGATGTCATCAGACACCGTCGGACTCGGAGTTAAAGGAGTCTCCGACGACACTGAGTGAGTGGCGGGGAGTGTGTGTACGGGTGAGTATGTTGTTTAGCTTAGCATTGCGTGTGTGCTAGCATCACAGTCTGCTGCTGTTAGAGCTCAGCGGGAGTTTACTCTCCAGAGTCCCGGAGCTGCAGCTCCAGCTGCCGGCCACAGCCACGGTGAAGCCCCGCCAACATCACGGGAGCTGGAGGGAGGAGGAGGAGGAGCAGGAGGGAGGAGCGGAATTAGTTTATCATCAGGCCTGAAGACAACATCAGCTCTCCCCATTCGTTCTTTTCCTTGCGCCCTTCCTTTCTCCCTCGTCACCTCCCCTCCCTTTTCCTTCCTCACTTATTCATTCCCGTTCACCTTTTCTTTTCTTTCTTTTTTTAACCCTGTTCCTCCCTTCCTACCTCCTCGTCACCTATCTGTTCTACCTTTTCTGCCCATGTGCCCTTCCAGTCTCCTTTGTCACCTGCTCTTCCCATCTCCCTTCTCACCTGTCCTTCCTTCCTTCCTCCACTGACACACTGCTCCGTCCTCCCTTTCTTTCCTCCTTCAGTAACCCTTTCTCTCTCCATTCGATCTCCTTCGTCACTCTTCTTACTTTCACTCTTGACTCCTTTTCTCATCTTTCCTTTTCCCCCTTCCTTCTTTGCTTCCTTTTTCATTTGTCCTATGTTTCATCCTCTCCTTTCATTAGTATCCTTATTTCTATTTTCTGTCCTTCCTCCCTTTCGTTCCTTCTTGTCTCCTTTCTCCTCCCTTCCTCCCTCTTTCCAGTCCTTCCTTGTCTTCCTTTTTTAAGTCCTCCCCTTCTCTCCTTTCTTTCTTACTTCCTTTCATCTTTCCTTACTCCCTGCCATTGCCTGTGATTCCTCTTCTTCCTTTCATCTGCCCTCCCCTCCTCCACTAACCTCCCCCCTGCTCTCCCCCCCATGGTCATCATGGACTCTGCCCTCAGTCTGCCTCAGTTTCCAGAAAACTCCTACAAAAGTAGGTAACTGTGGGTTAACTGACTGTCTGTGGTCCATTGACTGGGGTCAAGGGTGTAGGTCAGTGTTCAGGTGGTAACCTTGGTAACCATGGTAACTCCCTCTCCCTGCAGTGACAGAGGAAGACGTGAAGAGACTGATTGAGTTCAGGGCGTCCAATGAAGTTCTGTTCACTGGGAAAAGAAACTCGGCCAAGATCGCCTGGAGGTAGGGACGAACCACCGTCACTGAGCTAACAGTTAGCACTGTTGGCTAACCTTTACATTTGACCTTCTTCCTGTAATGACTGTATATATTTCGGTTGTTTTTTTAGACATTTATTGTCGAGTCATTTGGATGTTCGGAGCCTTCGTTGTCTTTTCATGACTTCCTCTTTTCTCAGCACCATCCTCAAAGGTCTGGGTCTGGAGGGGAAACTGACTGCAGACCAGATCTCCAAGAAGTGGGACAACCTGAGAACAAAGTACAAGGTGAGGTGACCCATAGTACCGGTGGGGCCTGGTCATAAAACCAGTACCAATGCCTTCCTGCAGGTCTCAAACATTTTTTTGTTAGGACCTGAAGCAGCCATACCAGGATCAGGAGAACCTTGGTGCTGTGGTCGAGTCCTGGCCCTGGTTCCACATCATGGACAAGGCCATGCAGGGGCGACTCTACAACAGCAATTTGGTTCTGAGCCCAGAGAACAACAACATCAGCATCCCCCTCACTGGTCACCGTGGCAACACTCCAACCAGCCGGAACCAGGACAACACGGACATCTTGGAGTTTCTCATCAAGACGGAGATGGAGGAGTCGGTCGCTGCAGAGGTGGCGGAGGACGAAGGGGTGTCCCACGTCGAGGCGCCTCCCATTGAGGGAGTGCCCCTCATGGGTTGGAGGAGGATGAGCGAGTGCTCCTATAAAAGTAGGTGGAGTGTGTGACCGAGATCACCAGATCCTCACGTCTGGTTTCTCCTCAAACCAAAACTCTTGTTTGTAGTGACGGAACCAGAGACGGAGCAAATGATCAAACTCCGGGCCGCCAACGAGGCGCTCTTCACTGGCAGGAAACACTCGGCTAAACCCGCCTGGAGGTGAGTGACATCATCACTTTATCAGATATGCTGTTGTTGAAGACCTTTGGTTCCGTTTGGTTCTGTCAACTCCAGCCTCTGGGAGAGATTAAAAATCAAAACATTCACCTCAGAGATCAGGACCTCCATGTTTCTGTTGCTCTGTTGCTACCTTGTGAGAGCTGCAGCAGTCTTAGCCCCGCCCACAATGATATCACTGTTGTTGACACCAGTCTGAACCCTTGGCTGGTTCTGTATGTGCAGTTAGGACCAGACCTTAAAAAAGTCTCTGCCCTCTGTCTTCAGAGCCATCCTCTATGAACTGGGTCTTCAGGGCAAACTGACCACGGATCAGTTGGCCAAGAAGTGGGACAATCTAAAGAGGAGATACAAGGTGGGTCAAACCGGGTCCAGACCCACAAGCTGTCAACAGACTTTTTCCGATGACAGCTGTTGTGGTCCAACCGTCAGGTTTCTCTTCTTCTGTCAGGAGCTCAAGTTTCCTGCTCGAGGCACGGAGACCAACCCCAGCTCCTGGCCCTGGTTCTATCGAATGAACGAAGCCATGGAGGGACGTCTGGCCGGGGCCGCACCCATCCTCACCCCCATTGTGGAGGACGAGGATGAAGACTGCGAGTCTCTGTCCCCCACACCAAAGAAAAGAGCCCGGAGGAGCCGAGGAGGGATGGCTGAGTTCCTGACAGAGTCTGAGATAGACCTGCTGGTGGATCATGAGGACAAGAACGGTTCCTCAGCTTTGGGGGAGCTGCAGAAGATGACGGAGTTCACCTACAAATGTGAGCATTAACCCGGGATTTACCACCACTCACTCCCTACACCAGAGTCCATAGAGAAAATCAGAGATTTTAGGTTAGACCTATGTGTTGTGATCATTTCCGACATGTCTTTGCTTCTTTCACAGTGACAGAAGACGACACACGGCGACTGATTGAGTTAAGAGCTGCTAATGAGTCTTTGTTCACTGGGAGGAGAAACACAGCCAAACCTGCCTGGAGGTAAAGGACGAAGACCAAACCTTTAACCTAACTATTTCAACATAACTTCAACTGGTTTTGGTTATTGTGTTATTGTTCCACTCCTCAGAGGAATAGTCAAGGAGTTGGGTCTAACGGGGAAGATAACACCTGACCAGGTGTCCAAGAAGTGGGACAACTTGAAGACCAAGTTCAAGGTAGAAGAACATGTCTGTGATGATTACCAGTTAGAACTGATGGAGCCTCCAGGAGGTCCAGCTTCTTCTGAGACTTTCTCTCATCACTTTGTCCTCTGTCTCCAGGACCTGAAGTTCCCACCTCGAGGGATGGAGAACCAGACCAACCCGGCGTCCTGGCCCTGGTTCCATCTGATGAACGACGCCCTGGAGGGACGTCTGGTAGACAAGGCTCCCAAAGTGACTCCTGTCTGGAGCAACGAGGAGGACGCTGTCTTTGGCCCCTCTTGTCCTGCTGCTGCTCCTGCTCCTCCTGCAGACAGAGACTGTCTAATGGCAGACAGTGTGTCGGAGCTGGAGAGCATGGTGGAAGGAGACCACGGCGAGAGCGACGCCAACATCACCTACATCGACGCCAGTGGAGAGGAGTGTTTGACCCCCACTGATCTGTCCTACAAGAGTAAGACAGGAGTGTGTGTGTGTGTGTTACCGGGCAACAGTTAAAAAAAGTACTTAATTTTTACTAATTTACTTCATTCAAAGACAATCCAGTCATGTCCGTTTACTTTCTTTATTTAAAGATAATCTGTCAATATTTTAAAATAATATTTCATTCACACTATGATTCAAACAGAATAGAGTCTGAAAGATGTTTTATTTTGAAAATGTAATGATCCTTCAATGCTCAGCACTGTCTGCTGTATTTGGCGTTTGCAACAGGGGGCACCCTAAGATCAGTTAAAGATCCTCAGGTGAGCTCCAGAACGCATTAACTCAGTCACAGAGTGACTGGACGGAGCAGCAGATGTGGGTTTAGTGGAGGTCAGAGGTCAGTCTGAGAGCATGTCCCCCCTGTGTCCACAGTGACGGACCAGGACACTCGGAGGATGATCAAACTACGGGCCTCCAACGAGGCCTTGTTCACCGGGAAGAGGAACGCTGCCAAAGGTGCCTGGAGGTGAGAGTCCAGATGTTCTGGAGGAGCTCCGAGGAGCAGGGAACACTGTTCTCTCTCATGTTCTCTCTCTGTGTCCTAGAGCCATCCTGAAGGAGCTGGGTCTGCAGGGCAAAGTGTCAACCAATCAGATCTCAAAGAAATGGGACAACCTGAAAAGAAGGTTCAAGGTACTGTTGGTCAAACACACGTTAGTGTAGAAGCTGCTCCACAGCGACAGACACTGGCCGACACCTGAACTCCTCTCTCTGTCCCTCCTAATCTCCCGTTTCCTCTCCTCAGGACCTGAAGTATCCTCCTGTAGGGATGGAAAGTGTGGCAGACAGCGCCTCCTCCTGGCCGTGGTTCCACCTTATGAATGAAGCGATGGAGGGTCGTCTGAGCAACAGCGCCCCCCTCCTCACCCCAGTCACTCAAGAGGACGATCAGTTCCCAGACCCCGCTCCACGACACAGGCTCCGCCTCAGCCACCCTCCTGCTCCCCCTCCGCCGGCTCCTCCGTCCACAGATTACGTACAGGAGGCGTTCTGTGACACCTCTGTGGAGCAGAACCAGCGGGGCCCGGAGGCGTGTGGGTGTGAGGGTCAACTGGGAGGACTGGAGCGGGAGTGGGAGCTGGTGGAGAGGGAGAGGACCACGTTGGAGAGGGAGAGGGAGTTGGTCGAGAGGGAGCGGGCGTCACTGGAGCGGGAGCGGGCGACCATTCAGGGAGAGCGACTGTGGTTGGAGCGGGAGAGGGCGACCCTGGAGCGGGACCGAGCCATGGTGGAGCAGGAGCGGGCGGCGCTGTCCAGAGACAGGGAGGTCCTGGACCAGAGGGCCATGATGCTGAACTCAGTAGGACACTCCACACACCTGAACGGTCTCATGTAGACCTGGACCTCCAGTGGACGTGAATTGCCCTCGTAGACCTGAAGATCAGCTGGTGGTCAGTTGGGGGGGTGTGGACCTGCAATCTGGACCCGGACGAGAAGGACAGCATGGAATTAAGAGGAGGCGCAGATCTGCTGGACAGCTTTGTTTGGAGGCTGGTTCTTGTTTGTCCACAGGACGGACCATGTGTGGACCGGTCCATGAGGACAGCGTGTGGTTCTGTCGTGGGACCATGTGAAGGAGCAAGGTTTTGAGTTCAGACTATGACCTTTTTTAAATTCTGTTTGAATTCTGTTCAGACACAGAGCTCCCCCAGTGGTGATGTTTTTAAAGCACATATACGTGGAGTGGTTCTGAGGTCCGGACCTCCTCCACACTTTCATACAAGCTGGGGTTCGAGGCCCTGAGATTTGTCCACTGTTGTTTTCCACTAAGACACAGCCAAATAAAATAAAGAGCAGGAAGAGTCCCAGAACCAGACCTATTGTTACCAGTTCATTCAGACCAGGGGGTCAGGGGACTTTATATCTGTGTTTTTGATGTTTAGACAGGGGGAGAATTAATAGAATATTTCTGTGGGGCTGGAATTAAGTTTAGTAAGATTTCACAAAGAAAAAGTTTGTATAAACAAACTTTAAAACATTTTATCAGTGTAAATATTTTTTTTTTATAAATATAAATTTTATAAATATTAATTTTACTTTTATTATGACCTGTACCACACAGAACACTGTATTTATTTATGTTCACGTTATTTACAAACCGAATTTAAGTGGTAATTTTTACATATATATATATATTTTTATATATGTGTATATATATGTATATATACAGTAAATAAATGCATCTGTACACAAAGGAAATTGACTTCACTCATGCAGCAGGGGGCGCTGGGCGCAAATCAATGTATTCAACGCTGCCTCTGTGTTGCCCTCTGGATCTCAAAAGTGAGGAAATCAGGATTGTCCACAGCTGATTGGCTGTCGGCACTCGGGGGGCGAGGCCTGACAGGTGTAAAGAAGCAAGTCAGGGTCCTACGGTCAGACCTGAGTCAGTCGTGTGGAGGCAGGACTACGTCACACTGAGGAAGTGTAAACCACAGCGGCTCACAGAGAACATTCTGACGGTAAAAAAAAGACACAGATTATCGACATTTAGTCCAGAGAAGCTGAGGCGAAGTCGTTAACTTCACCTTAGAAGTCGACACAACTCGGATACACGACGTGTTCCAGAAAGTTCCTCCGGAGTTTCCAGATTCGGGAACTACTGCAGAAGTTAAGAGAAGTGTGGTGAACGGATTTAGCGGTGTGTTCATGTTGTTTATTAGCAATTAATTAATATTAGTAATTATTATTACGAATAAGCCTAATTTGATAAATAATGTAATTTTTATTATATTAATATTTATTTATATATTAATATAATAAAACTAACTTAAATTAGGTATGGAAATGACGTGACTATAAATAAATACCTAGTGTTCTGTGTAGTACGGGTCGTAATACAAGTAAAATTAATTATTTATAAATTAAAACTCTCTCAAACGCATAAAATAGATTTTAAGTTTTTTTAAAAGTCTTCTAATTTATACAAGAAAAGTTACCACTGAGGTGCTCTGAGCAAGGCACTGTCCCCGCTCACTGGTCCCTCGGTGCTTAAAGCTGCCCACTGTTCACTTTGGTGATGGGTTAGAGGCAGAGGTCACATTTGGTGGTGTGTGCAGTGGTGTAGTTCACTTTCCTTTCCTAAATTAACACTATTGTTAAATACAAACTGACTGGGAATCAGAAGATCCTGGAGATGTTCCACAGAAATCATCTGAGACGATCTAGGACAGTGGAGTGGTCATAACCTGCTAATCCAACTTCACACGTCATAGAGCTCTAGACAAATAGAAGCAGGTGTTAACGAAACAGGAACAAGGCTGAACTGAGCCAAAGTAAACATGGAGTTAACCAGGTGTGGATCAGGATCCAAGACTGGAACTGAGCCACATTAGCAGGAAACATCTCCATCTCTCCTCCTCTTCTTCATTCCCTCCCCCTCTTCATCTCCTCCACCTCTGTAGCTCCATCCTTCCTTTCTCACACATGTATCCTCCAGAGCAAACCTCCACCCGTCTCACATACTTTGCTGCCACTGCTGTTTCATGCATCTCAGTTCCTCAGTACTGTTGTACCAGCACTCTGTACTGCAGTACTTTCTCTGGGCATCAATCCAAACTGATTTACAACCGAGTAACTCAGTAAAGGTTCAGTTGTAATTATAATAATAATAATAATGATGTTGATACAGCTGGGTGATGGTTAAACAGTAAAAGATGATGATAATGATGACGATGATTATGATGATGATGAAGACAATGATGAAGACAATGATGAAGACAATGATGTCAAACACCTCTTTTCAACAGGTAACATGGTGAGGAGAAAGGACATGAATACAACAATAAGTAAGTAAGTGTGTGTGTGTGTGTGTGTGTGTGTGTTTGAGACACACCCACATACCCTGGAATCGTGGTCTGTTGTGTGTCACATACACCTGTTTGTTCAGTGTTTGATTCTGAATCTAACGTGACCGGATGGAGTGGGTGTCGAGTTTATAACAGAAATGTTCAGAGGATAAAAGAGGAACAATGAGAGGAATTTGACCGACAACCACTGTCACTGTGACACCAGCTAGACAGGTCCAACCAGTCTGTGTCTGTGTGTGTGTGTTATATCAGTGATTATCAGCAGGTCAGGTGAGGCAGCCATGTTTACACTCCAGCTGAATATAAACAGCAGTAACAGACCACAGTGACCAGGGTCCAGTCGGTACCAGAGCGACAGACAGGCCTGATCCAGGAGTAACCTAGAACTGTTTGGTTCTGTTTTGGTCAGGACTCTTCGTCTGCTCCCTGGTGGCTGTGGTTGTCTTCTTCTCGGTCCTCCTGCTTAAGCGCAGCGACTCTCTGACAGGTAAGTTCTTGTACAACAGCGCCACCTGTATTAAATAAAAGTCTCCCTTTAAAGCCACTGATGGTCCCAGCAGACCTGCCTAACATCATATCTGAGAGCTTGGACCAAGCCGAAGTCTTCATCAAGACCAAAGTGGACCCACTGGGTGAGTGATGGTCTGTAGACCTGACCTGCTCAGAGTCGGTGACGCTGATGTCACTTCCTGCCTCCCACAGCCTGCCTCACACCCAGAGAGTGTCCTTCAGACCACTTCAGCTTCTACGTCCAGAGTGGAGCCGCCAACATCGTCCTGCCCAAGATCTGCATCCAAAACAGGACGTAAGTGTCTCAGAGTCCAGGACTTGGAACTTAATCCAGAATCAAGTCAGGACTTAGAACTAATTCAGAATTAGGTCAGGACTTAAAAGTAGTCCAGAAGTTAACCTAGTCTGACCTGGTCTGTGGTACCTGTGGACCTCCTGACCATCAAATGCTCTCCTCAGGGTTCTGGGAGCAGTTCCAGGAAACGGTGGAGTGGGACTCAACATTGTGGTGATGGATGGTGAGTGATGTCATCTGATGATGTCACTAAAACTGATGACGGACAGGTGGTGAAAACGTTGAAGTCATAATCACCCCCCGCCCCCGCTGCCCTCTTCTCTCCTTCTCCTCCTACTCCTTATTTTCTGGCAGGTAGAACAGGAGAAATCTTGAAGACAGGTGCCTTTGACATGTGGGGAGGAGGTGAGTGAAGGTGACTCCTCAGACTCTCTCTGTTCCTCTTCCGTGCTCTGACCGTGTGTGTGTTGCAGATGTCCAGCCTCTCGTTGACTTCCTAAAGGCCATTGAAGTTGGGTCTGTGGTTCTGATGGCGTCGTTCGACGACCCGGCCACAAAGTAAAGTCTGCTCATCTTCACTGTTAGCTTGTTGACAGACGGTGACTCCTCCGGCTGTACTGTATAAAGACATGTGATGCCATAGACCAAATTTGAACCAACACTGTCCACCAACCAGAACCTGGAACTGAGGCAGAGCCACAGCTAAACACGGCTTTAGTCTGAACTTAAGTTATCGCCGCCTGGTGGCCAAGTGCCTCTTACACGCCCATGTTCTTCATACAGCCCATAGTTCCTGCTGTACTCTGGTATGGTTTGTGTTGTTCTCATGTGTGACTGACGTGTTTGTTTGTTTGTTTGTCTGTTACCTGACCCAGGTTGAACGAGGAGGCCAGGAATCTGATCGCTGACCTGGGAAGTTCCCTCATCCAGACCCTGGGCTTCAGAGACAACTGGGTGTTTGTTGGTGGGAAAGGAGAGTCAGTGAAGAGCAACTACGAGAAGGTAACGGCCACGGTGTCCAAACGTTGTTAGACATGAAGAGAAACCCGTCCTGTCTCCTGGGGTCCGTTTCTTGAAGCGGGCTTAGTGCTAAATCAGTGTTAGATAACTCCGTTAATTAGAGGGAACTCTGACTTTCCGGTTTCACGAAGTCGGCTAGACCGTGACGCTGACTTGGTTGCTAGGGCCACATACGCTGTGGAGCAAACCTGCTGCGTAGCAGTTTCAAAGTCTGAGTCAAGGAGTCAGTCCGTAACCATATACAGGGCGTGGCCGTTCGTTGAGGAGCCTGGTGACATCACAGCTCAGTTGCTTAAAAGATGCTAGGAGAGAATCCTGAGACCACGTCTGGATATTTTAGCACTCCCCAAAAATGTTTTGTTCGAGAGTTTATGCTTTTCATTCTGTTATTCACAGACTGTTATAAAACTGAGTTCTATTATCATCCAACATTTCATTCGCCAAACTCATCGTAACCATGTTCTTAGCTCACTGAAACGCACACTTCCAGCAGTGTTCTGTCAAGTGTGTGTAAGTTTGCCATAGGTACATCACCCCCGGCCCCTCCCCCAAGTGAGTGACATTAAACAGAACCAGCAGAACCTCCCAGTGTGTGGTTCATTTGCTGCCACACACTCCTCATCCCTGTTGGGTTAAACCTGCTTTAACATTTAAAACGGTCAGGTGTGGACACACAGAGGTGGGAGAAAAGTCACGGAGATATATATAAATAATTTTACACACTTAGGCTGAACAGTTCTGTAATTAACGAGGATGAGTAACTTTCTCATCAATATTCACTCATTCACTCCATCATCTATTTGTTGACGAGCCTTTTCCCTTTCTTTTACTGGTGGCTGTAATGGTGATTTTTATTTTTTTTAAGATAACAGTTCATGTTATCTGCGCTCAATTGAGGGAGACTTTATATCTAGTCGGGCATGAGCGCCACTCAGGCTACCCAGAGCTAATTGTAATCAGCTGTTGTGGAACCGGAAAGTCAGAGTTGGACCTCTGCGGCTTACGGTAGCCAGAGCTGGAGTGTTGTGAGAAACGAACCCCAGAACTGTTCCTGCTTAAAACACGCCTCAGATTAGAGCTAAAGGTTGATTAGCCCCCGTTAGCATGGCTAACCTGACTTTGTTGAAGTGAAACGTCTGGTCATGTGACTGTGTTCTCCTCACCTGTTATTTTTGTTCTAGACCCTAAAGAATGAAAGGGAACATAACAAATATGAAGAGTGGCCTGAGATCATAGACCTGCATGGATGTATCCCTCAATACTTGCAGTGATCAGAAACACCACCACCGTCTGAACTGATCCATGGACAGAACTGTGAGAACAAGGAACCAAGGTTTTGGGTGGACAGAACTGTGAGAACAAGGAACCAACACCCGATGACAGCAGACCAGCAACCAGAACCTGGCTGGTCCACATCGGAAGCTGTTTTCTGGTTCTGGTCTGTTCCTGAGTGAATGCTGACATAAAATGGTCTTTGATGTTTTGGGATTTTTTAAATAGTCTGATTGCTGTGGCTCCACGTGCTGTGCAGCCGAGTTAAAAACACAAACTCAATATCTGTTATGGACTGAGCTTTAACATTTCTGCCACCTCCACCCATGGTCCATCTCTGGTACCCACTTCTACAGATAGCTGGACCTGGTCTCCTGATCCATAGGAGATCCATCATATATTTAAATCTCTTTTTATTATGTGGGCAATACTGAAGTGTGTGTGTGTGAGAGAGAGAGTTTGTGTGAGAGAGAGTGTGGGGTTTTTTTTATAAAAGAGAGAGTTCAGAGTTTACTCTGACATCAATAAGGGTTTATTGAAGTGAATAAAAGTCAACTGTGAATCTGTGTCTTCTCAATGATTTCTTTCTGAGAAACGTTCTCCACTGAGCTAACAACAGCTGTGTCACAGGGAGGAGGTCGAAGGTCAGTTACCTGCCTCTTAATGTAAACTGTTAACAATTAACTTCTCTTTGTCTGGGGCTTTAGAAACATAAGCAGGAAGAGTTCTGCTGCAAAAAACAGCTGACACAGCTGGACAAAAATATATATATATATATATATATATATATATATATGAGTCTGATTTTCTTTTTGTTTGTTTTCCTGACACTCCAAGGAAGTGGATTTTATTATATATATATATATATAATTCTCCCTTTATCTTCTGTTTGTTTCTCCTCCTCCAGCCCCTCAAGAGGTTTTGGCCTTTGCCAGGCAGCGACTGTAAATAACAATTTGTTCTTAAGGTCCTGTCTGGTTAAGTAAATGTTAAAAAAATTTCAGTCCTGAGTCAGGAAATGGAAACACCACTGTTTAGACGGCAATAGAGAGGAACAGCATATAAGGTTTTTTTAAATTTTTTTATTTCCTGGCTTTCTGTCGTATCCCCATATCTCTTCTTGAATACACATTGTCCTGGGGGTAGGAACTGAAGTACAAAATCCCTGTTTCAGAACGGGCACTTTTTTGGAGCGGAGTTCATCCTAGCGTTCTGATTGGTTGACTCTCACCAGGCTGCAGAGCTGGTTGGAGGAACAAGAAAAGCCGTTTTAACGGCGGGGAGTGTGGGCAGAGTAAATGTTTGTCTTTAACTCTTACATTAAATAAAAACAAACGTTAACGTTTTGTGATATTTTGTCTTTAAAATGGCGACATTAGTTCTGGACAACGGAGCCTACACGGCGAAAATAGGCTACAGTCAGGATAAAGTCAGGTAATCTCTTCATGAAACGTGAGAGTTGTCAATAATAATGCCAGTATTGTTGCTAATAATACAACGAGATTATCCGAAACAAAATGTTTCATATATTATGTTAACATCCCGATATACAGTATATGGAACGTTTGTAGTTATTTGATAAACGTCCGAAATGGCGGAGTGAACCGTACTCCAGACTCACTCGGACGGATTCTGTTATAAAATGAGTTTAAAAAATTCAACTTGGATGCCGAAAATCTAAAAACACGGAAATAAAAAAAACTTACATTCAACGTGAACCTTGTTGTTCCAGTTCCAATTGTCCTATTAACGAATGTTTACTCTGTCGAGACACGGATGAGCCTCAGAGAGAGATTATGTACGGAACACGGAACTTTTCATGTGTTAAACAAATAATAAACAAAACTAAATTACGTCTTTTCTTCGTAGTGTCATCCCAAACTGCCAGTTCCGCTCAAAGACGTCCAGATTGAAAACCTTCACTGCCAACCAGCTGGACGAGATCAAAGATCCATCCGGTCTCTACTTCATTCTTCCATTTCAGAAGGTTAGAGACACGAGTTTAAATATGTACCACACAATATGTGGACAATATAATAGCTCTCAAATGGTTCCTGCTACCTCACACTGTTAGACCAGTGGCAGATATGTTTTACATTTGAAAAACCCCAGTGATCTTATCATTATCTCTCCGCTTTAATTTACTCACAATTTACTGACTCAGTGTGAAATCTGTTTAGTTGAACACAACACTGATAGACCTGCAGGAATTAAAAAAAGACACAAACATCTCCGTCTCTCTTGGAAGAGTGTTTAATTGTTTTGCAGCAGAGACAAACAGAGAGTGAAATTAGTCAATTTCCCATGGTTCACCTGGGTGCTCTCTGACGGCACTCTGATGGGCTGTGGCTCAGCGGTTGGGAATCAGTGTTGGAACAGTTGTGACATTTTCAGCCATCTGTGTGTTCCAGGGTTACCTGGTCAACTGGGACGTTCAGAGGAAAGTCTGGGATCATCTGTTTGGAAAAGAGATGTTCAAGGTTCTCCACATTGTTCCTCTGTCTCTGCAGTGATTTGGTATTTTTACGTAGAGGTGGTTGAAGTCATGGTGCTAATGGATCCTTCTGTCTTCTCCTGCAGGTTGATTTCACAGACACCAGCATCATCATCACTGAACCGTACTTCAACTTCACCTCCATCCAGGAGTCCATGAACGAGATCCTGTTTGAGGAGTACCAGTTCCAGTCAGCCCTCAGGACCGACGGTGGGAATGTATACACTTCCTGAGGCTAGACTAGATGAGATCAGATTAGACTAGATTAGGTTAGACTAGACGAGATCAGATTAGACTAGATTAGATTAGACTGGGTTAGGGAGAGTTTCATTAGATTGGAATTACAGTAAACGCCCTCTCCTGGTTCTGTGGTGTCTGTGCAGCTGGTTCTCTCAGTGCTCATCATTACTTCCACTCCAAACCTATGGAGCTGTGTTGTCTGGTCGTGGACAGCGGCTTCTCCTTCACCCATATCGTCCCCTACTGTCGCAGTAAGAAAATGAAGGAGGGAATCCGCAGGTAAGAGACAGAAAGTGTAGCAGAGCCTCAGTGACTTACCAGGTGTCCTTCTGATGACCTCTGGTGCTTCTCCTTCTGCCAGGATCAATGTGGGAGGAAAGCTGCTGACCAATCATCTGAAGGAGATCATTTCCTACAGGTCTGTCTGCTCCTGACTGACTGCCTTCATAGGTGAACATAGAAGTGATGAGGTTCTGTGTTCACTGTTGTTGCTTGGTCATAGTCAGTTCAAAGAAACAGAGACACATATATAGAGACTTAACAAGTGCTGATTGGTGATTGGCCATCTAGGTGACAGACCATGGTTTGTTTTCTAGACAGTTGCACGTCATGGACGAAACCCATGTGATCAACCAGGTGAAGGAAGACGTCTGCTACGTCTCCCAGCAGTTCTACAAAGACATGGAGATTGCACAGTAAGAAAACAACAACAAAAACACCACAGTCATATGACAGTTCTGACTGTAGTTTCCTCCTGGTGAAGCTTCTAGTTGTTGGGGGATTTTCCCTCATATTTATGTTATGCAGTACATGCAGTTTTCTGTTTAACTAACTATGTTAGAGGTCTGTAGATCATAGTGTCAGTTGACTTTTCTCTGGTCTGTTCCCAGGTTGAAGGGAGAGGAGAACACCTTGATGACTGACTATGTTCTTCCTGATTTCACCACCATCAAGAAGGGATTCTGCAAGGTGACAACAATTTGAGTAGACAGAGATTTCTTAAAAAGTCACTGGTCATATACCATGATACTACACACTCTAGTACAGTGGTGGCAATATGTGCTTAAAAACATTGGCTGTGACCCACTATTAAACCCAGACATCAGGTGCCTACATAGGCTAAGAGACATTCAGGTGTTGATACAGAACATAGGAAGAACTTGTTTTGTCTGTCCTCACTGTCTTCTCTGTTCCCCACTGTCTGTGTCCACCAGCCTCGAGAGGAGATAGTCTTCAGTGGGAAATACAAAACAGGAGAGCAGATTCTGAGGTTGGCCAACGAGCGGTTCGCTGTTCCTGAGATGCTCTTCCATCCATCAGACATAGGCATCCAGGAGATGGGAATTCCTGAGGCCATCGTCCACTCTGTCCAGTCGCTGCCTGAAGGTGGGCGTCGTCTTGTTTTTGACATTTAAACCCACGTCAGTGTTCTTTACCAACAGTGTTTCCTGTCCATCAGAGATGCAGTCCCACTTCTACCAGAACATCATCCTTACAGGAGGAAACACCTTGTTCCCAGGCTTCAGGGAAAGACTGGAGGCGGACCTCAGGTCTCTGGTCCCCACACACCTGATTGTGTCGGTCCTGCTGCCGTCCAAGTAAGGACTATGTCCAGTACTGGGGTTCTGTGGGAGCTGGTTACCATCCCTCGCTCCCCCCAAGCTGCCTTTGTTTCTTATCAGTAACGATTGTTGTATTTTGCTGTGGGTCACATGGTTGTCTGTGTTTTCTGTCACACAGCCCACTCTGTTACCCGTGGGACGGTGGTAAACTGTTGGCTCACAACCCCGATTACGACGAGATGGTGGTGACGAGGGAGGACTACGAAGAGAATGGACATTGTATCTGTGAAGAGAAATTTGATATTTGAATTCAGAAAGACTGAGACCCCACCCCCAACCCCACGTGTTGATACTGTATTATCATTCATGTAATTGTTTTGGAAATGTAAATAGCAGGTTTGTTTTAAAGTAATATTTTGTTCAGTAAGTGGTTCCTTTTACTCACATTTTCTTTTTTTCTTCTTTTTTTACATTTATTTGAACAGTTGATTTTGTTGCTGTTGATTATTCTGGTGATCAGTTGATGGTGTTTTGGCAATTTTGTCAACAGTCACCTTGGAATAAAGAATAAAACAGAAAATGAACAACGTTGTTTGTTTCAAAGAGTTTTATTGAGAGTTCCATTTATAGTGAGCTGGATACATTTATGTGTGCGTACAAGAATGTAATGAGCAGCAGCTTACATAAGGTCAGGCTGGTAGAGTCAGTATTATTCCACTGACTATGTGACTCAGTAGAAGCCAAATGGTGGATTATAGCACAGAATGTAATTTCATACTGAACACAATTTGATTTTTTAAAACAATTGCTAGACAATGTTATAGGAATCGTCCATATTCACCAGACAGTAGCTGGTGTGGTTTGAAGTTTAATCAGAATTTTGTTAAACAGTTAAGAAATACCAAAATATAATTAAATGTTCCAAAATCCAAGATATAACTATGTTAGCCTAAGTAGCTACAATGTTGATAAGTATCATCCAAAAATCATCAAAAGGTAAGAAATATAAACCAAATAATATAGCTTGAGTTATAACTTGTCAAATGTCTTGTAATTGCTTTGTAAATGTACCATAATACCCTCGGGATGTATTTCATAAGTTTTTTAAAATAGACCGTTGCTGTAATAAAAAAAATTTCAACATCGATTTTCATAACCTTAATCTAACATGTACTATCGGCTTTTTGATTTTTTTATTTCATGGTCTGGTCCATGAATGCATCATGACTTTCGGCGGGAACGGCGCTTCCGTTCGTACTCTTCTCCCTCTGCTGTGTTATTTTTTTCTTTACTCCAATATTAGTATTTTACTCACATCATATGATTACCCATTAATACATAAGACACTTAATAATCCGCATTTTGTTTAGGGCTGTTAATAGATATATTTTTATATTATAATTATTATAATTAGTTATATATATTATATTATAAGCTTCCCTTAGCTTTAGCAATTAGCATTCAGTTCAGAAGTGAAGAATGTCCACAGGCAGGAAACCAGCGAAGAGAAAACTGTCCGATGAAAAACCAGATAAAGTTTATGATTTTCATGAAGAAGTTGGAACGAAAGAGAACAGTGGCTCTGAGGATGAGATTAGAGAAGGTGAGTGCTATTTAACACAGTCAGTGTTAACATCCTTTTACTCCAGGGAAGGAGTCTGCGATTTTTTTTTTCATGTTAATTTTTTAAAGTTAACGTCAAGACATTTTCAGTCAGTTCTGACACTTTGGTGTAAATTATGAAGTTAAGTCCAATTAAATTTGTTTCTTACAATTCTGTATTGGGGCAACATAAAAAGTATTGGGGATAGAAAAGAGAAAATCTTCTGGTTTTATTCTTTTTGTCATTATGATGCTAATATAAACAATCAAATGAATAAAAAGGCACATTATTTATCGTTGTTATTCCAAGCAGAAGATTCTCCAATTGCACACAAGCTGCCAAAGAAAAGAGTAGCATCTGCCCCTTCAGCTGAGGAGAAAGCCACTGGTGTCGGGTACAATGTGAACGTCTTTGTTAATGCTGTAGTATTCTGTGAAATAATTCCACATAAAAAACGTCTTATTGAATGTAACAGTGATGTTTCTGTTTCGATTACCGTAAACCGACTTTGGTCTGATGCAGCGAAGTCCAGTCAATGTTGGAGAGATTTGGAGGTGAGCAGCTCTTTATATTAACCATTAGGGATGTAACGATGCATCGTGAATCGGTTGAAAAAAAAATTAATCGCGCATTAAGGTGTAGGCTGCGTTATCTCAGAAGTCACTGGTAATGATATGACACTACACACTCTAGTGCAGTAGGTGTCAGTATGCTCCTAAAAACGTTGGTTGTGACTCACTGTTAAACCCAGACATCAGGTCCCTGCGTAGGCTGAAGTGACATTAGGTGATGAAACAGAACGTGTTCCTCAGACACCAACAGTGTTTTCCACTGTTCCTGTAAAGAAAGTTCCTATTTTTTCCCTCCTCCTTTTTTTGTTTTTATATATTGACAGTTAACCAGGTCAGATTGACTTTGAATCAGAGCAAATCAATAGTGATGTGCAGTCTTTCTGGAAAGAAATCTGACTTTTTTCTTTTTGTTATTGAAGATTTTACACAGTTTTGACAGAGAAAGGATCTGTGGATTTGGTCACTGTTTGTCTGGAGATCATGTGGTTTAAAAAAACTCATGACTCATATGTTGAGCTGAGTGTCATCATATCGTTACATCCCTAATAACCAGTTTTTCTAACTAACTCTGTAGGAGGTCCAGCTCCTCCTCTCCTCCTTTATTGTACCAGTCACTGTTTAATCTGCATCTAGTTGACATCAGCAAAGTGATGCAGGCCAAGAAGAAACGTCTGGAGTCTCTCACCAAGAACTACATGAAGGGAAGTCAAGATAAACTGGAGCAACTGTGGAACAACCATCACACCCAGAGGTACTGGAAGACAAACAGTGGTTTGGACTTAGAGTGACTGCTGATCTCACTGTGACTGTCTATAGGCAGAAGATGACTCAGCTGTACAGCCAGCAGGTGGACGCAGCGCTGCAGCAGTGGGAGACGGAGGCCCAGAGGCGTGACGAGCAAGAAGAGCAGCTCAACGTTAGTCCACTGATGTTAATGAGTTTAGAAGAGAGGCTGCTGACTGGGCAGGTAACCCTTTAAAAATGTTGGTTGTAGGATCTCTTCAGACAGCAGCAAAAAGTCCTGCAACAGGCTCGGGTGATGCAGAACCAGAAGCTTAAGAAGGTCCGAAAGCTGTACGAGCAGTTTGTTAAGGTAGATGTACTTCAACAATGCCCCCCTTAACCAAAACACATGTACAGTAACTGTAGTGTGAGACATGCTTTTGAAGAGGTTGTGGTTTAACTACAGCTATGCTGCTGTGCTTTCTGCAGATGACAGAGGACATGGAGAAGACCCATGAGTCTTTTCTGCAGGGGGCGCAACAGGAACTGAAGAAGGAGATGAACACCTTGCAAAAGAAGGTTCTCATGGAAATGGTGAGTGAAGTTTCAGAAAAGTCCTGGACTAGAGGCTCAGTCACATATATCGCAGCCCACTGAAATAACATTTAGGTTTAGCTTGTAGTCTCTAACAGATAGTTCAGAGGTTATTAATCAAAGTAAACATAACGATGACTGATGTTCTGATTTGTTCTGGAAAGCATCAACAGGAGATGGCCACTGTCCGCAAGTCTCTGCAGTCCATGCTGTTCTAGCACCAGTGTTCCACCAGTATGTGCTCCTCATTCCCAGGGTTCTCCGTGGAGATTTGAACCTGCAGCGGTGTTATTATAAATGTTTCTGTTCTTGTGGGAGTTCAGTTGTTTTGATGCCACTTAGTTAACAGTATTAACTGGAAAAAATAATATTAAAATAAAATAATATTGTTTAAAACCAGTGCAGTATTTTATTTCATGAATTATCTTTAAAGACAGCAGCCTCTGGTGGAAGTACTTCCCGGACTGTGTCGTTGTAACAAACTAAATGTACGAGCAACTTTCAAACATTAAATTAAACATTTTATATGTTGAAATGTTTGTGTGTGTGTGTCTATGTAAACACCATACTGTGTGTTTATGTTGTGAATACAGCGGAACTAAATGAAAAGTTTTACTGTTCGACGTAACACCCGGAACTTCCGGTTACACCGGGCAGTGTTTCCTGTTTTCTCTTGAGCAGCGGCCTCTTCGCTCCTGACTGCGCTAAAAACAGTGGAAGAAGGCTCAAATCGGTAAAATTTTTTTACAGTAATTGCCTCTATATTGTTGTTAGTATTTCGTAGATTTAATATTAAGTCGAAGGATTGTGTGTTTGTCTTTACTCATCGACATTTAACTGTAGTTTGCTAACGAGTCGGCTTCATGCTAACCATTTTTAAAAAATGCAGTTGGATGTAGATGAGTTATTATATAAATTAAAATCAATATAAATGAAGAAGACACGGTTATGTATCAAATAATAGTGTCAAAATCAACAAAACTTCACTGCCGTGACTTGTCTTTACTGTCAGACCAAAATAAGGGACAGTAGCACGGGTTCTATTGCGGAATTTCAGAGGATGAAGATATCGGGAACCAAAGGCTTTATTATTGTATTGTAATAGTTATAATGTTATGTTCATTTATGAAGGGGTTAATAGTTACAACAGTGGGGGGGGGGGGGGGGGCGTTGCAGTATTACACAGCATCATACTTTTGTCAACGCTGTCATCGAAACGGTTCCAGGTGGTTTCTGAACTGGTTCTGTGACGCTCTGAGACCATGGACGAGACGTCAGCAGGTAGTTTGTCCGACCCGGACCCAGACAGTCCTGGACCTTTGAACCGCGGGTGCTTGCTTGACCAGACTGACGATCTTTGCCAGGATATGTCGGTCATCGTCCCAGAAACTCCCAGGTACCGTTTGTCTGTGACGTCAGCACCAGGAAACTGAAGACTTAAATATTCAAATAGAAATATGATGTGTTGTTAAAGGTGAATGTTTTTTTGTTGTTTTGCTAATTTTATTTTATTTTTTTCATTCTGTGCAGTCCACAGTTGGGCAAACGCAGAAGATTAAGACGAGTCTCAGCAGAACGATTAAACTCTGTAAGTCCCAGCTCAGGCTGGTGTTGACCACAGGCCGTAGTCCAAAACAGGACTGTCCACCGGTTGGTCACTCACTCAGGTGTGTGTTTTCTTGACCAATGATGGTCTTTGATTTCAGGCTGGGGTCCGTACGTCACTGGACAGAGGCTCTTTTTCCCCCAGCACAGATGGAGGTTTCTCCAAACGCCGGCGGCTAGCAGCAGCATCAGTAGCATCAGCATCGATGTCAGGATCAAGTGTCGATGGTTTTGTTCCTGCTTCATCTCTGAGGTCGTTCCCCCTCACCTCCTGGCTGGAGGCCTCGCTGTCCACCGTCTCCTGTTTCTCCTCCACTTCTTCATCCTCTTCTTCCCAGTCCTCCTCTGCATCCTCCTCGTCACTGTCCTCGTCTTCATCATCCTTCTCCTCCACTCAAGTCTCACAGGAGGACGTAGAAGTATTGGCTCTCACCACATCCACAGCAGAGTCCAGTCTTTCAAGATTCAGAAGGAGAGAGACAGGGAGGGAGGGAGAGAGGGGGAGGCGAACCCCAGTGTCACTGTCACCATCATCACCGCAACGACAGACGCCAACGCCATTTCCTGATTCTGACTCTGTGTCCTTCCTCACAGAAGAGGAGAGGAGGTGGCTGGACTCCGAACAGGGTAATACCTCTCCAGGTGAGTACTCACATGTATATATTAGTGTTTGAAGTATTTTCCAAAACAAACTTAAAGTTCATAGCTCAGACCAAAGTCCATAGAGAAAATCAGTGATTTTAGAACTATGGAGGGTCAACTTAACCTTCGTGTTTGTGATTGTCTCCAGCAGCAGCAGTGGAGGAGATCGTTATTAGTGATGATGATGAGACGTTTGTCCGTTCGTTGCAGACGACTGAGGACGAGGCTTTTGCTCGTAACCTTCAGGTGAGAACAGTTGGGCTCCGGTTCGCCACATGTACAGGAACGAACATTCTAGAATCTTTTTCTCTGACGTTTCAGGCCCAGTTTGACCGAGAGGAGCAGCACCACAGACAGCAGTTTCGTCAGCATCAACATCATCAGCCTCACCATCAGTACAGACACCACACAGTGAGACTGACTCTTTAAATTCTCGTCCTGTCACATGGGAAAAATCAGTTCAGATGTGATTTAGAAAATGTTTGACTGATAACTGTAAGAAGAGCACGCCCTACAGAAAGATGAAGACACTGATGAGACAGATGTCTGTCCTCTGGACTGGCTGGAGCTGCTGTCCCTCTGATCTCCACCTATTCTTCTCTGCAGATGTTCCCTCACACCACCCCCAGCTGGATGTCTCAGATCCTGATGGCAGTTTCTCCTGATGCGGCTTTTCATGATGGTACATTTTCTCACAGTCAGAGCGCCACATTCTGGTTGTTGTTTGGAACAGCACTTAGCCCCACTAACCCTGCTAGTTCTTAACAAAACACTTCTCCTCCACAGAACTGATTGGTCAGCACCGACCCAGAGGGCGGAACAGAAGGAGGAACCCTTTCCTGGACGGACCAGGAGACTCTCAGGGAAATGACTACGAGGTGAGAAACAGAAACAACACACCACTGAAGCTGAGCTTCAACAGGGTTTAATACACTCCATGTCTCCAGGTCTGGGGAGAACCTGTGATCAACAGCTAGTTCTGGATGGACTAGTCAGGGAGTGGGTCAGGTTTTAGTCAATGACAGGTCAATAAGTCTAAGAGATTTGACCTTTGACCTGAGGATAGAGGACTCTGTGACATCAGTGCTGTTCCGACCTTCATGTCTTCCATGTCCTCCTTGTTCTTCAGGCCCTGCTGGAGTTCGAGGAGCGTCAAGGTTCCGTCATGTCCAAGAAGTTGACGCAAAGAGAAATTCAACGTTTTCCGACCAAAACCTTCAAGAATGCGAGCTGTGGTGGGAACACACAGTAAGTTCTCCAATTCCTCAGGGTTCCTCCAGATGGACATCATCAGCAAGAGCTCATGTGACACTCTTCTTCTGTGTCTCTGCAGGTGTCAGATCTGCTTCTGTGACTACACCGACGGCGAGAAGCTCAGGATGTTGCCCTGTTTCCATGACTACCACATGAAATGTATCGACCGGTGGTTGAAGGTAAACACACACCGCACACACACACACTGACATTATCTTTAAACAATGTTCAACATTTTTTTAAAACATCCAATCTTCTCGTCGCCCCCTACAGGACAACACCACCTGTCCTATCTGCAGGGCCAATCTGGCTGATGGAGACACATTGGCTCCTCCCAACCTTTGACCTCTGACCTCTGTGTTCTATGTTTTGAAGATCCATGTTGTTTTAAAGAATGACTCTCATTGTGTTTGATCTGTTTTTAATCTTTTATTATAAGAAGTATTAAAACATTTTGACTTCATTGTTGTTTTCCTCTGGTTTACAACCAAGACCATTTGAAGTTTGAAGTGGTTTCATTTCTGTTTCATTTTTCCTCAGTCAGAGACTGAGGTGTTATTGAAATATGATGTTAGGGTCCTGGACTGGTTCAGGTTCCACCTCTGAGTCCTCAGGCGTCTGGGATGATGTCACCATTGTTGCCATGACCACAGTTTCAGAAACCGCTGTGCAGTGAGGACAGCCAACCAGACAGAAACGAAGTTGGTGGGAGAGGGCTGAACAACTACTGCTGAGATCTTCAGTCATCAGAACCTAAACATGTTCCATGAAACTGAGGCTCACCAGTGCCCCATGTGGATCCTGGAGTTACCACATGTTAAAACAGAAATCCCTGGGTCTACATGAAAACGTTGAAGTTGAGAAGCAGAGGAGGACTTCAACATTTCATTTTAACTCAGTCAAATACTATTCCAATAGGTGGCAGCATATGGCTTTAAAAAAAAAAAAACAGTGCTTGAAGATCTTTGTCTCTTTCTTCAATTTCTGCCCACAGTGGAAAATGTGAGTGAATTAAAACTAAGAGATTGTTATATTTCACTACAGACCATTTTCTGACACTTTTCTTCAGTGGTACGCCTAAGGGTTTTTCTGTAAAATATGAGCTGATGTCGGGAAACACTGGTGAGCACCAGAAAGTCTCAGCAGCAAAACTATCACCAGGTAATCACAGATTAATTTGTACATTGTCAGATGGGATTAGATTAAGATTAGTCTGGGTCTACTGTGATACTGTCACTCCTCGTAGTAGCGTTTCTTCATGGCTCTGTATTTTCTCAGGTAGTATAGCGCCTCCAGCTCTCGGGCCACATACTCTCCTCGAGTGATCATCTCCTTGATCTTCTCTGGATCCTGAACCTCCTTGTTTTTGTTAAACGCTGCTCGCAGTCGATCCCGGAAGTAGTCGCCTCCTTTGGGATACTCACGGCCGAGATACAGGAGCTAAAGAAAGGAGTTGAACAACATGATGCTAGTGTTTTTACAACGTTAGCTGCACGTGTGTAAAACTTTACTTATTTTAAGACACTTTTAGTAATATTAGTCTTAAATCATCTAACTTTTAGACACGTTTGATACAACATACTTAGCTTTGAAATAATTAGATACAGTGGGGCTTCAAGATCCGAGCTCCCCGACATACGAGTTTTCCAAGTTACAAGTCTGGAACTTTTGCAAAATAATACAAAATGTTTTCTTAATTATTGTTATATTATCAATATATTTGTTTATATCTATTTTAATGGGGAAAATGCAAACGAGATACAAGTGGATTGACAGACAAGTGCTGTTGTGGAACGGATTGCACTGGTGTCTCAAAGCCCCACTGTATTTCCAAGTTTTCTCTTTACATGTTGTCTAAATTATTTTTAGGGCCAATATTCAGACATAATTTTCTCCTACACACTCTTTATAATGGATTTTGGGTTAACTTTGCTTGACTCTTCTGCAAACTGACGTTTTTATACAGTCGAACCACTTCAGCTCTCAGAGGGTTCGCCATCGTCCCTGGTAACAGAAGAAAATAAAACAAATGTTTAGCATAATTATATTCAATGGCAATTTTGGAAAGTTCTAATTTACTAATTCATTGGGACGTAGACATGGCTTTTAACTTTAAAATGCACCAATGACTGCAATAAAAATACAAACCAATCGCTGTTCCGGCTCCGATATCTCCCAAACCTTCAACATAACTATGACTTTCACTGTGTCCAACATTGTATCTAATCAAATCAAAAGCAATTCTCTGGTGTAGTACTCCAACATAACTCAAGTAAGTTTGACCTTTAACCTGAAAAGAAACATTAGGTGTCTGTGTGTTCTCACCTGTGCTCGTCCCTGAACTTTGTTCTGTTGAGCCGAGCCTTTAGCTTCGCGTTTAGCTTCAAATTCTTTTCATTACTTTCGTCAAAGCGTCGACGTTTAAGCTCGTGTGTCTATTCTCACTCTTATATAAACTCGATGATATTGAACATTTACTCTCCAGACTATTTTCTTAAATCTTGATTTGTCCCTCAGTCAAACAGCTGCCTGGTAAACAAAACCAAAGATGAAAAAAAGTAACAAGATGGCAATCGCATCAAACCGGAAGTGCAGACTTCTTATCGTCCTTGCGTGAACCACAGTTGATCACTGACAATCTCTGTTTAGTTGAAATGGATAAATAATTATGGAAAGAGGTCAAGACTTGTGTCACTGCACGTTGCTATACAAAAAACAGTAACACTAGTTTCAGATAAGACGTTGTTATGACCTGTATTCTATCCCCAGTATTTAATGTAAAATATGTTTTGCTACGTATTTCTCAAGTTTAACTTTTTTAATCTCATTTTGGAAACACAGACTTGTCGATCTTGGTTAATCACGTCACAAAATACGCTGTTTGCTGTTTAACTGGGCTAAACTAGACCAGAGTCTTTCTAATGACGGACAGGTCGAAGTGCTTTCTTTATTTTCCTGGTCACGTTCAGTCAGTTTTGTCCCCTCTGACTTACCGTAGTGGCGGTTTCTTGTTTCTTGCGTCTTGTCCAGTGTCCTAACCATAATCAAAATAGTCCCGCCTCTTTATGCCTATGATTGGTTTTTTTGTGCTAAGAGGTAGCTGATTTGGTAAACGTTGTGTTTGACGTCAGGTTTAACCAATCAGCGCCTTATCTAGGCGGGGTTTCTTCCTCCGATGAATTAGAAAAAAATTAACGCCTGGTAACATTTAACATTTTCGTTGTTGTTTCCGAAAAGTTTATTCTTTTAAGTAAGTAATTCGCTGTATTTGATAATTGGTTTTAAATGTTAGAGCTTTAGTCCAATGTTAACAATCGTTTCGCACTGTTTCTGTTCAACATTCAACCGGTTGTTAACTTTTCAATCCGTTGTTTTGTGTTGAAGGTAGAGTTAGCTGTTAGCCGCCTGTCAAATCCAGAACTAACTTCACTAACTCTTTTTACTGATGTTCTATCAACTTTTTGTGGTAAATTGTTTACAATAATGGTTTCACTCGGATTTCCTTTTTTGTTAATTTTTAAATTTTAAATGTATTCGTAAAACTAGAGCGCAATCTTCCATAGACAGTTTATTTTCTTGACCGTAGGTCCTCCAAAATATAGACAATTGTTTTATTTGCAGGGCAAAATTTTAATAGTAAGATATAGACTTGTTCTTTAGCCTAAGTTTGGGCTGCACAGTAAACAGAAGTGGGAGAGTGACTGTATTTGTCTTTCAACCTCCGTATAATAAACATCCGGTTATTTTCCGGGCTGATTTGTCACTGTTTTTTTAATGAGGCCCAATTCGTTATTAACTCAAACTGAGGTTATTGTAAAACAAAACTTAATTTTCTGCTTTAATTCCCGACTGTCTGTACCTGCAGCTGTCACCATGGAGGAGACCACCCGCCTGGTGTCAACAGGAGACTGTGTGAAGATCTGGGATGCAGTCTCCATGGCTCCGCTGGAACAGTTCAACCCACACAGCATCAGTCACCCTGTGGCTCAGGCGTGCTGGAGCTCCAACAGTATCCTCTCTGTGTCACTGTTGACTGAGTCGTGGAGTCGATCATCATCGGTGTACCGTTGATGGCCGCTGTCAGGTTAAAATGTTTCACTGTCTCCGTTTGACTTCCCTTATATTTCTGACATATTTCAAAGGTTAAAGGTCATAGTCAAACTGTGTGACGCAACCTTGACTCAGGTCTCAGATCATTACCTGGTCAGTGCCAGCAGCAGCGGAGACAAACTGGTGGTCTCCAGTCTCAAGTCCAGCCCAGTTCCTCTGGTGGAACTGGCTGATGGGGTATGTGATGACAGATTGGACCCAGTGCAGCAGCAGTGGAACCACTATCACTATTTATTTCTTATTTCAATGTCTCTGTGTCTCAGTTGTTTTCACTGATTTCTCTGGACACTGGTGGTCTGTGGGACAGGTTTTATCTCTCCTCCTCCTCCTGCTCCTCCTCTGAACGCCTCTTCATCTTGGTGTCTTTCAGAAAAAACAGACCCGTGTGTGTCTGAGCTCCTCCTCCCAGTTTCTGGTGAGCGGGGGTCTGGATCACTGTGTTCACCTGTGGGACCTGAAGACCAAGAGACTGCACCGAACTCTCAAGGTGGGACTTTTCTCAGGTTTCCATCCTGAGACCCGCTGTGAGCGCTGTCTTTGTTGGAGGACAATGAACGAGACGACACAGACTGACAACATAACATATATATATATATATATATATATATATATATATACACACACACACACATACACATGGATATTACATACATACTTTCGTATATTCACACATATATAGACATTTAAAACATCAGCTGGAGCTTTGTCACTGATGGAGACCATCAGAACTCTCCTGTGGAGGGGCGCTGGTCTGCACAAGGTTTCCATCCGTTCACTGTTCCTTCTCCGTCTCGTCCTCAGGACCATAAAGAAGAAGTCACCTGTGTGTCCTTCAACTCCAACGACAGCTACATCGCCTCAGGCTCCACCAGTGGAGACCTGGTCCTTCACAGTCTGACCACCAACCTGTCCAGTAAAGCTTTTGGCCACGGCAGCAACCAGGTGAGTGCTGGTGTTTCAGGTGAGTTTGAATATTCAGAAGATCTGGACCAATCAAACTGTTTCCTCCTTCAGCCAATCCACGACCTCAGGCTGTCCACACTGAAGCGCTCCTTAATGGGCAGTGTGTCCGACAGTGGTACCGTCGTCCTCTGGGACGCCAACTCCCAGAAGGAGCTCCATGTGTTTGATGGAGCCCACAAAGCCCCCGGCTCCGGCCTGGCTTTCTCTCCTGCCAGCGAACTTCTGGTTGTCAGTGTGGGACTGGACAAGAAGATTGTCTGCTACGACACGGCCAGCAAGATGTAAGGCCGAGTGTGGACTGAAAATTATATCAGATAGAATGTGGAAAAAAATCCAGAACGTTCCAAAACTTCACTGGTGAATTTTCTCCTCATTCCTCTGTGACTGTGCAGCGTCCTGCGGCCAATCAGAGTGGACACTCCTCTGACCTCCGTGGACTTCACTCTGGACGGCACAGGTCTGGTGGTCGGATCTACGCAGGGAAAGATCTACCAGTACGACCTGAGGAACTCCAGCGCCCCCACCAAGATCACCGTGGCACACAAAACCTCGGTCACCTGCCTTCGCTTCCAGAGCAGCAGCAGCAGACACAAGGTATGGGCTGTGGTCGCCATGGAGACCACAGTATATAAGATCAAATACAGTGACAAAGTACATGAGTAGTACTCACTTTGGTTCTTCAGACGGGGGGGGGCACCTTTATAAAAACATTTTCTTTTTCCAGTCCACCAGTAAAATGGGCTCCACCAAAATCTCCAGCACCAAACGACTTTTGACCCGTGTGTCCAGCGGTCAGTCAGACCCCACCCCCAGCACAGGCTCCACCCCCCACAAACCATCCACAGGTGTCACTGGTGCAGAGGTCATGGCCAGGGTAGCTGAAGGTCAGCAGGGGTCAGAGCCCCCTGTGGCCATGGAGGAGAAGAACAAGGTGGGACGCAACAGCCTGGACGTCTTCTCTCCTGCACGAGACGGTGAGTGATGAGATTATTGATTAATCTGAGGATGATCGATTCTGAGGTCACTTTCTGTAATGATCAGACTTTTGTATGAATGAAGGTTTGTTTTCATTTAAGTCTGTTCAGTATTTATTTTATAGATTTACTGTGTAATTTTTAAACATTGTTTTGCTTTTTTTGTTATTACATCATGGGACAGAAAACTGAAATATTTTGACAAAGGTCATGATTTTAGACCAATGATGACGGAGGAATAACAATTAACTTCACAAATTAATTAACATGTTTATGTGACACCCCCCATGTGATGTCCTTTATTTGTCCCAGACTCCAGAACGCAGGGGCCAAGTGGAGACACGCCATTTGGACGGACACAAGGTAGGACAGTGACCTGCTGCTGATGCTGTTACTGCTGCTGCTGTTACTGCTGCTGCTGTTACTGCTGCTGATGTTACTGCTGCTGCTGTGTCAGCACTAACTTGTCCCTGTCCTTCTACAGTTTCCAGTCTGGAGCTGTTGTCCAGAGAGGGGGAGGGTCAGCAGCAGGTGGTGGGCAGGGCCAGTCTGGACATCTTCTCACCGGTCAGAGATGGTCAGTCTTCCCTGCAGTGGTGTGAATAGTTCAAATCACAGCGTGAACTTGTTGACAGTGCGTTTCTGTTTTTTTCCAGACTCTCACTCTGCTGATGGCTGTCATCGTAAAACTCCTCTGGGAACGCCGCTGCTCACCCCTGCAGGACGGTGCTACAGCCCACTGTCACTCTTCACGACCCCACCACCAATCAGAGAAGAAGAGCCAATTACTGCTGCCGCTGCTGGGTCATGTGACTCTGGAAAGGTGCTGCCCTGTGTCCGTTTTTCCATCATGATCTGAGCTAAAATCACAGATTTCCTCTGAAATCTGTGATTTTTTTTTCTATGGACTTTGGTCTGATTTTCTTTTTCTAACATTCAACAGTCAGACAAACCTAGCTGTTCCAGTCTGGAGGGCAATGGTCATGGCACGCCACCATCATCCCAGCAGACCAATCACATCCAACCAGCGCCACCATTCTTCACTCCAGAGCCAAGTCTACGCAGAGCCAATGGTTTCCAGGCTCCACTGAGCTGTGAGTCACCACAACATGGAGCTGCGCCCACCACAGCAGCGGGTCAGGCAGGTCTGTGACCACTGGGTCATGTGAACTTTGGCTACTGAAGGTCTGTGACCACTGGGTCATGTGAACTTGAACCTGTGGTTGATGCTGCTGTTATACCTTAGCCGAACCTCCAGAGGGAGCTGTTCAGACTTGAGTTTAATGATCCTGGTTCCTGACTTGTTGGTTCTCCGTCCTCAGCTCCTGTTCTGCCCCCGTCCGTCTCCTCCACTCTGACCCAGAACATTGCTGAGGTGGTGGGTCAGGGAGGTGCGGCTCCTCTCACTTCACTTCAGATCCACTTCATCCAGAACATGATCCATGAAACCCTGGAGGACCTCAGGTCTGGTCCTGACCACAGACTCGCACCACAGTGTGGTGGTGTCCACCCTGAGACTGATTTTTTTTGTCTCCATCTTTTCAGAGACACCTGGCACAGAGACATCGTCAACCTCCAGGTGGAGATGATTCGACAGTTCTACATCCAGCTGGTATGAACCGGTCCAGTAGAATCATCTCTGGGTTGTTAGCATGTAGCTGTTAGCTTTAAACCCAACCTTCAGTTAAAGTCCTCCACAGTCTGGGATCAATACATTTGAATGGAATCTAATTTAAACATTAGAAAATGAAACCAGATGGTAGATGAGATGATGAAACACCAGGTGTCAGTGGACCATCAGCACTGACGTATCTGACTTGTCTTTTTAGAACGAGGTCCACTGTCTGATCGAGAAGTACTCTGTGAACGAGTCTCTGGTGGAGGAAGTTCACAGGCTCCGGGAGGAGAACCGCAAACTGAGGACCAACTACTGACCGCTACTCCTGACCTCGGCCCCGTCAACCGCCGAGGACAGAGAAGACGACCGTGAAGAGGAGTCACCAGCCAACTGCTGCTGCCAACGAACGACCACCGTCTGTCACTGAAGAAAAGAGCAGCGGCGCCTTGTGGAGCTGATCACTAATCAGTGCCGTGTGTATGTGTGTGTGTTTTGTAGATACTACGTGTGTGTGCGTGTATGTGTGTGTGTTTTGTAGATACCTGGAAAAAAGAAAGAAAAAATATTGAAAACTTGAACATTATGAACATGTAATTTAACTTTTCTGAAACAGATTTTATTGGTTTTTACCAGAATAAAGAACAAGTTTACATTGAAATGTTTCTGTCTTTAAATCATTATGTTCAGTTTTTTTTTGAGAAATTAAATTAATAACCAAATAAGGAACTCCAGCATCTGTTTAACACAAACTTATTTGGATAAAAACCACTTCAATCATAACACGACCTAAAAATGGAACTAGTTAAGTTTATCTTAGCCAAGTTGTTCATATACTGTTCCAAGGAAGCTAATAGTTCACTGTGAAAAGGGTGAGCTCAGAAATGGTTGGTCACTAGCTCCAAATGTAGCTAAATATGTTAAAGAAAAATATACCATTATAAAATTCATAAAACAATAAAAGTATGTCCTGAAGAAATACTAAAAAAAACATGTAAAATAGAACCAGAAAAAGTTAATTATTTGCAAAATATTTGCAAAAAGTTACATAAAAGATACTTTACAAACACTATAAATATTTATTCCTGTAGATGAAAAAAACCCACAAATATAAAAAATGTATGTATATCAAAACCTGATGCACTCAGGGGATTTACTGGGTGCATCAGTGGGGGGCAGTGTCGCATCGTATCTGCTTAAAATAAATAATCACCAGCTGCCGCAGAAGAAGAAACATTGGCAGCTTCTTCCGGTGCTTTTAAAGAACGGCGGGACGCTACTCATTTACCAGTCTGCTGGAGCTTTCTGCTTTCGGTCCGTAGTCAGACTTCACAGCGTGGTTAAACATGGTGCGGACTAAAGCCGACAGTGTCCCTGGGACTTATAGAAAAGGTAAAGACAAACAACGAGGACACTTGCCGTGTACTCGATGAGAAAATCAGGATTTAGACAAAGTTTGGTTATTGTTTAGTTAAGTATTGGGAGAACACCGCTGAAAGCGCTTGGAGCTGGCCGTTTGTCAGCGTTAAAATGATGTAAAAATGATTTAAATTTATTGTGACACGACATTTAAAAACTGACGTAATGACGATAGACCGTTATTAGCGCAACACTGGTGAGTGAGATTTGTTAAACCAACCAAACTTGCTAAACTTCTGCCTCTGGTGGCAGAAATCCCGCCAACGTCCAGTTTTCCAGCTGCGTTAACTTAAGTTTCCGCCTTGAGGAAAACGATTGACATTAGCTCCAGGTCGTGGTAAAACTGTCTTTAACAGATTTCCGCCGACATTGTAATGCTGTTGTATTTGTTCCCTTAGACGACAATACGTGTTTTGTGCAAAGTGGCGCCAGATTTTAGCGCCTCGGCGGAGCTTGATGCAGACTGAACAGAACTCCATTGAGTTTGTTCACTTTTTTTACATGCATCTATCTCTTGATTTACGGTGTTGAAATGTTATCGTATGTATGCGAACAGCGATTTATTTTCGACATGAATGTTGGTGGTGTTCGGCGCACCGGGCAGTATTTCTTCTTAGGACTAAAGTTCTATTACTGTAGGGAGTACAACACAGACACAAAAAACCGTTAACATTAACTTTGGAAAAAAAGAGTAAGATTGAAAATAAGGGGGCGCCATTGTTCTACTGTGAGCATTGCTACGCACCGAAAACCAAAATAAACTCTGAAGGTTAGACACGTGAGTACCAGGGGACACTGGTACGGTTCAGTGATCTGAAGAACTCAGTACAGAGGGACATAACGTGTATGAATTCTTATATATATAAATATAATTATCGATAAAGACAACGGTTTGCTCATTGAATGTGACTGTAGCTGATTGAGTTTTTTTTTTTCATCTTTGAATGTATTTTACTAAAAAACATTTTCTTGTGTTTCTTTCTTTTTTGCAGCTGTTGCAGCTTCTGCTCCGAGGAAATCTCTGGGCTCTAGTTCAGCCAACTCTCCCAGCAGCAGCAGCAGCTCTGCCTCTACACCCTGTCAGTGACTCTCTCTCTCCCCACACTCACATCACCGTACTTTTTTTTATTTACAATTTTATTTTAAACCACATGAGCTTCAGACAAACTGTTGTTCTCTTCAATAACAGAAGAGGAAAAAAGTCACATTTCTTTCCAGAAAGGCTGCACATCACCATTGATCTGCACTGATTTAAAGTCAAACTGGTCTGGTCTTATTGACCTGGTTAACTGTCAATATATGAAACCACAAAAAAAGAAATGGTGTTAGACGCATACTGTCACCTGCTGAGCTAGAGTGTGTAGTGTCATGGATTCAGTTTTTATTTCAACTGATGAGAATTGTCACAGATTAGTATCAGTTTTTAACCAATTCACGGTGCAGCGTTACAGCCCCACTGAAGGGTGAACAGAGAACTGATGTAACTTTTCTTTTGCTAAGAAACAAATCCAAAATCCATGAAAGTCATTTAATTGGAAAATTCTGGTTTTTAATAGGTTGAAAACCAGAATGAATTATTTATCATTTGTTACTGATACTGTCCACGTTCCTATTCCATATTTTTACTGTTTGTTTTTGCCTCAGCCAAGAACAAATATGCCGGAGGAAATGCTGTGTGTCCTCGTCCCACTCCTACCTGGCAGAAAGGAATCGGGGATTTCTTCGGTGGTCCACCCAGAAAAACAGAGAAGGAGAACCAGTGTCCAGCACTGGTGGAGGACGATGAAGAGGCCGGAGGCAGCGGGATGTCAAAGGCCAACAGGAAGTGAGTCACATCTGAAGAAAGGTTAAACTTTGACCAAGATAGAAACAGGAAGTAGAATCAGTATACTATATCATTATTGGCACGAGGATATATTGAGTTTTTCCCCATTCTAACGTCAAAGTGTCATTAAAGTAAATACACAATGCTGTTCCATTTGAACATGAGGTTACTAACATTGGAACAGAGGGATCACTAGAGAAGAAAGAAAGGGAAAAAGAAAATTCATTAACACCAGGAATATTGGACTGGGAATTGGTGATTAATAAAAAATCAATACACTGATGTAGGATATTGATACAGTACCAGAAAAGAAAATACTATATCACAGTACTTCAGTGTATGAAATTATATTTTCTTACAACCATATATCTGGTATCAAGGTTGGGGGTTTGATTCCCATCTCTAACTTTGTGTGGTCTGTTATGACCCTGTGATGGATGAAATGGTGGTTACCACTGGGCCCTGCACCATGGTTTTGTGTATTTTGGACTGATGTTCTCTCATGTGCAGGTCCAGGCCTCTGCCTGATGAGGAGGATGAGGAATGAAGATGAAGGCTCCCTGACTCTGCTCAACCACTGGTTCATGTACATCTGTATATATATTTTTTTTACACTTTGTATAGTTGATTAAACATTTGGTCATGTTTGGAAGTTGCTGAGTTGTGTGTGTGTGTGTGTCTGAACGGGCTCCTCAGATTTGGGCTGTAGATGGTTAGTGGTAACCAGCAGTAACCTGTCACCAAAGTCTAAGAAAATTGATCAATTCACATCAGTGGTAATTTAAAAAATGTCCACCAGAGGCAGCACTGGTTGATTTTCTTCATTCAGTGTCTTGGTTCTGAACATTGTGACATGTGGGACCTTTAAAGACTTGGGTCCAAAATGTTTAAAGTCCCAGGTCTGTATCTTGGGTTCTGTGTCACCGGTTCGGCCCAGAAATCAGGAAACAGTTCCAGTAAATGGGAAAATGTTTTGTAATGGGATTGGATCGAAGTCAGAAACAGACTCGGAGGCTCTGAAGGTCTGGATCATCAGCTCCCGAATGATCCTGGTGCTACACAGGCTTCCATCTGATGAACAGAGACGGGTGTTCTCCAGCGTGAGCAGCGGTGACGGAGACGTTGGTAGGTAAAGTCTTCATTGATCTGAGTGTTCTCAGAGCGCCCTCTACTGGATCACTGTTCCATGGAGCGCTCCAGTCTAACGTATACTTAGTTAAGGTTCCACTATAGAACCGTTAATTCTAAAATGTGTGAACTTTGTTCAATTATTTATTTTTGACAAAAAGTGGTTTAGAACATACAAGTGTTGTACAGTGAACTGAAGTAGTTGTATTACACTGGAAATCGTAAAAAAGTGAGTTTGCTCCATTTATAGATTAATAAAATGGAAGAAATTGAAAGGACAGTGACCTCATTCGGTTCATCTTAATATTTCTAAAGGATTTAACACAACCTAGTGGTTATAGTTTGCATTTCTTAATAAAAATTCACTGGGTGTCTTGGGTTCACCTAAATCTGTCACAGAGTACATTTAAATCATGTTCTTCTACTTCAATTAGAAGCTAATGAAAAAAAACATCGGTCCGTGAACACAACGCCACGTCGTGAGGTTCAAAGGTCAAAAGTAAACACTGGTACGTGAGCCCAGGCGGCCATACCGGCGAGAACCGACCTCCAGTCGGTGGTTGTTCCGAAACGACAATTCCATGGAACTAACAGTAACTAGCGGCTGTGAAAGAGGACCGTTACTTTTAGCCCCGCCCCTCTGACTCTGTGGTATAACCGATCAACTTCCCGCAGAAGCTTCTCCACTCTGTCAGCGGCGGGAAGCGACGCTGCTGTGGGCTGCGGAGAGCACGGTTTCTCTCCGCTCCTCTTTCTCCCCCCACCCAAGAAGACAGCACAGGGGAGCAGGTGCGTGAAGGACGACGCAGTACCGACCCGGTGCGGTAGGAGAGGGTCTGGCAGAGAAGATGTCGAGCGGCGGATGGAGGTGGACGGTGGTGGTTCTGACCTGCCAGCACAAAGACAGCGTCTACGCCTTCCAGAGAGGTGAGTGAAGCGTCTGTCTCCGCGGTACGATCTTTGTCACCCTCCTGACAGTTCACTCCTCCTCTGGTTCTAAGGGGACTTACAACTTTCATAAATTATTATGATGTTCAGGGGGCCATTTTCTGATCTGTTTATTTATTTTTGTTATTACTTTTTATTACTGTGCAATATTTTTAGCCGTGTAGCCTTAGCCTAGCCTGGCTGTTAGCTATCTCTGGCTCTCTGATGTATTGTTCTCAGCTGTTACTCTAACTACAGCCAAACCGAGCAGTGAATGAGTGAAGTTCCACGCTCCTGTAAGACAGTGGTTCTCAGTTATTTTCTGTCATACAGACAGAAATGTTTTCACGCACCCACTCCGACCCCCCCACACCCTCGGGAATCAAAATACTATTAAGAACCTGATAACATGTATATTTTTTTATCTGTACAGACCACTGTATGAACTGCTGCCACCTGGGGTGAGAAGCAGGTCTGAACCAGGCTGAGGGTCATGTGATCATCAGCCTGAAAGATTGTTTTTTTTGTGTGTGTTTCAGAGCTGGAGCTGCGGCAGCAGTGTGGCTTCATCTCTGAAGATGCCTTGCTCCTGACTGTTCAGGACCGTCGTCAGCCCGTGGGCAGCGGAGGGGCCACGCTGAACGCCCTGCTGGTCGCTGCTGAACACCTGAGTCACAGAGCAGGACACACAGTAAGTCTGTGTCAGAGGAGGTGCCGACCAATCACGTGTCTACCCATGATTCCCAGCTGTGCACAGTAGTTGTTGACAGCCGTCATGGTCAGTTGGTCCAAACGTGTCCAAACAGCTGTTGACAACAGCCAATGAGAGCGATCCAAAGAAGATTGATGTGACTAACCCTGAGCGTCTGGCTGGAGAATAATACTCACTGGTTGTATTTCCAGTTCTTCAGGATGTGTCCTGTCTGAATGTTTGATATCTGGGACACACCTGTGCAGGGACCAATTACCCCAGTAATAATCCACCCTTGAAGTGTCTACAGACAAACTGTTCTGTTTGTTTTTGTTCAGGTGGTGACGGCCGACGTCCTGAACGGCGCTCACATCCTGATCCTCCACACAGTAGGTCCAGTCACACCCAGCTACACTTACTGTTAATGACCCCTGGACACAGGCACACTCAGTGGTTAGGGCTAGGGTCATCACAGAGGTCATCATCATCATCATCACTGTTTTATTGCTGATCCTTTTTTTCAGGGACGAGATTTTCCATGGAGCTCCTGCAGCAGAGCGTTCTGCTGGCTGCCCCGAGAGAAACCGGATCAGAAGGTCCAGGCTCCGGTCTGCTGCCTGGATCTGCTTCTGGACTGTCTCAGTACCAAGGTCAGCTTCCTGTCTTCATGTCTCAACTTCAGGAGATTTATTTATTTTAATAAATGAACGGTAGAAGGTGATGACTGACTGTTGTCGTCCATTAAACTGTTGTTGTTGTTGTTGTTAGATCTGTCCTGGTTCTCCTCCTGGTGTTTGGGTCTGCAGTACTGACATGATCCTCACTGTCCCTCCTGACTTTGGTGAGTCTCTAACACACACACACACACTCTAACTGTTACTGGCTTCTACAGTTGTGTGTATTTGTGTAGTACACAGCTGTATTGACGGTGTAAATATCCCTTCAAAGTGACATAGTGGTAAAGACAGACAGTTCCTTATACCTGAACGACTGACAACTACACATCATCATCATCATCATCATCACCATCATCATCACCTGACACTGCTGGCATTTGATGACATCAATAGTTGGAACAGATAGAAATATTTGACAGGAGTTCAGACTGAACCGACTGGTCAGACCAGGACTTCAAAAGAACCAACCTGATATAATGATAAGGTGTATGTGTGTGTGTATGTGTGCGTGTGTGTGTTTCAGCTCTCTCCTGGGAAAGTTTCTCTGGTGTTCGTGTGCTGTCAGTACCAGGTGACGTGTCCTATGCAGCCAACCATGGAGTCTACCTGTGTGACCAGCAGGTGCTTCTACTTCCTCTAGTTTATTATGTATTTCCTGTTTTTATTCTGTCTTGGTAAAGATAATGAAACATATTTATATTAGTGTAAAATTGTTTGTTTTTTTTAAACACTTTTTTGGTTGCTCTGAAGGTGTGTTTGTTTTGTGTGACAGGGTCAGGTCAGGGACATTATCTACAAGGGAACCAATGAGCAGATTCAACAGGCACTCATGCCTGATGGGAAAGTACCGCTGGTATGTTCTAACGTTGAAGCTGGTCTTTGTTACTCTTTGTTGTGGTGTGAGCTCCCAGATGATTATCCCAGCCTGTCACTCAGCTGAGCTCATGTTACAGGAAGTGGTTTCATTATTATTATTATGGTCTGGACCATAATAGACAGAACCTTCTTAGGAGCTGCTGAATAATCTAGAACCTTCAGAGCTTTGAGCTGCTGGAACGTCAGGTTCTGTCAAACTCTGAGGTCAATAGGTCAGGTGACAGGACCAGCTGCTGTGAGAGCTTCAATGTTTTTTTTATCCTGTTGTTTCAGGTTTCTGGTCCAGTTTTCTTCAGCAGCTCTGTGTCAGAGAAGCTGCTGCAGACCCACGTCACTCCACCTCTGGACGGCTGCACCTACCTGGGCCTGGACTCTGGAGCTCCGCCCCTGCAGGTAGACGGGAGCCAAACAATCAAACCTCTCAAATAAAAATGTCATCCAGAACTCTCATAAAAACCTGAGTTGTCCCTCCACTGCCCTCTCTCTCCCCCTGCCCCTCAGATTTCTCTCTTCCTGGACATGCTGAAGTGTCTCTGCTCAGATCTGACTCAAGACCAGTTTGTGACTGAGGAGAGAGCCGGCTGCAGTTCCACTGTGGGGCCACAGGGGGTGATGGTGAGAGGAGGCAGGACAGAACTGTGGAGAATTCTCAGAGGAACTCCACTCATGCTGGGTTGGTGTCTCCACGTCAACATGTTGCTTCATTTATCTGAGGACCCGAAGGCAGCGCCGGGGATTGAACCCTCAACCCTCCTGGAGTGCTACGATTGTGTAATATACATATCCACC